CGATCACGTCCACGTCCACGTCCAGGTCCACGTCCACGTCCACGTCCACCTCCACGTGCACGTCCACGTCCACGTCCACGTGCACGTCCACGTCCACGTCCACGTCCAAGTCCACGTCCACGTCCACGTCCACGTCCACGTCCACGTCAAGGTCCACGTCCACGACCACGTCCAGGTCGACATCCACGTCCACGTCCACGTCCACGTTCACGTCCACGTCCACGTCCACGACCACGTCCACGTCCACGACCACGTCCACGTCCACGACCACGTCCACGTCCACGACCACGTTCACGTCCACGACCACGTCCACGTCCACGACCACGTGCACGTCCACGTCCACGTCCACGTCCACGTCCACGACCACGACCACGTCCACGACCACGTGCACGTCCACGTCCACGTCCACGTCCACGTCCACGACCACGTCCACGTCCACGTCCACGTCCACGTCCACGTCCACGAACACGTCCACGTCCACGAACACGTCCACGACCACGTCCACGTCCACGACCACGTCCACGTCCACGTCCACGTCCACGTCCACGTCCACGTCCACGTCCACGACCACGTCCACGTCCACGTCCACGTCCACGTCCACGTCCACGTCCTCCACGTCCACGTCCACGTCCTCCACATCCACGTCCACGTCCACGACCACGTCCACGTCCACGTCCACGTCCACGTCCTCCACGTCCACGTCCACGTCCACGTCCTCCACATCCACCTCCATGTCCACGACCACGTCCACGTCCACGTCCACGTCCATGTCCATGTCCTCCACGTCCACGTCCACATCCACCTCCACGTCCAAGTCCACGTCCACGTCCACGTCCACGTCCAGGTCTACGTCTACGTCCACGTCCACGTCCTCCAAGTCCACGTCCACGTCCTACACGTCCACGTCCACGTCCACGACCACGTCCACGTCCACGTCCACGTCCTCCAAGTCCACGTCCACGTCCTACACGTCCACGTCCACGTCCAAGTCCACGACCACGTCCACGTCCATGTCCACCTCCACGTCCACGTCCACGTCCACGTCCAGGTCCACGTCCACGTCCATGTCCACGTCCACATCCACGTCCACGTCCTCCACGTCCTCGTCCACGTCCACGTCCACGTCCTCCACGTCCACGTCCACGTCCACGTCCTCCACGTCGACGACCACGTCCACGTCCATGACCACGACCACGTCCACGTCCATGACCACGTCTACGTCCACGTCCAGGTCCACGTCCACGTCCACGTCCACGTCCACGTCGTCCTCGACCACGTTCAGGTCCACGTCCACGACCACGTCCACGTCCACGTCCACGTCCACGTCCACGTCCACGTCCATGTCCACGTCCACGTCCACGTCCACGACCACGTCCACGTCCACGTCCAGGTCAAAGTCCACGTCCACGTCCAAGTCCACGTCCACGTCCAGGTCCATGTCCACGTCCACGTCCACGTCCACGTCCAGGTCCACGTCCAGGTCCACGTCCACGTCCACAACCACGTCCACGTCCACGTCTACGTCTACGTCCACGTCCACGTCCACGTCCACGTCCACGTCCAGGTCCACGTTTAAGTCCACGTCCACGTCCACGTCCACGTCCAGTTCCACGTCCATGACCACGTCCAGGTCCACATCCACGTCTACGTCCACGTCCATGTCCCCGTTCACGACCACGTCCATGTCCACGTCCATGTCCACGTCCACGTCCACGACCACATCCACGTCCACGTCCACGTCCAGGTCCACGTCCACGTCCACATCCACGTCCACGACCACGTCCACGTCCACGTCCACGTCCACGTCCACGACCACATCCACGTCCATGTCCACGTCCACGTCCACGTCCATGTACACGTCCACGTCCACGTCCACGTCCACGATCACGTCCACGTGCCCGTCCACGTCCACGTCCACGTCCAGGTCCACGTCCACGTCCACGTCCACGTCCACGACCACGTCCGCGTCCACGTCCACGTCCACGTCCACGTCCAGGTCCACGTCCAAGTCCACGTCCAAGTCCACGTCCACGTCCACGTCCTCCACGTCCACGTCTACGTCCTCCACGTCCACGTCCACGTCCACGTCCAAGACCACGTCCAGGTCCACGTCCACGTCCACGTCCACGTCCACGACCACATCCACGTCCACGACCACGTCCACGTCCACGTCCACCTCCGCGTCCAATTCCACGTCAATGTCCAGGTCCAGGTCCACGTCCACGTCCACGTCCACGTCGATGTCCACGACCACGTCCACGTCCACGTCCAGGTCCACGTCCACGTCCAAGTCCACGTCCACGTCCAGGTCCACGTCCACGTCCACGTCCAAGTCCACGTCCACGTCCAGGTACACGTCCACGTCGACGTCCACGTCCACGTCCAAGTCCACGTCCAGTTCCACGTCCACGTCCACGTCCACGTTCACGTTCACGTCTACGTCCACGTCCACGTCCACGTCCATGTCCACGACCACGTCCACGTCCACGTCCACGTCCAGGTCCACGTCCACGTCCAAGTCCACGTCCACGTCCAGGTCCACGTCCACATCCACGTCCACGTCCAAGTCCACGTCCACGTCCACGTCAACGTCCACGTCCACGTCCACGTCCACGTCCAGGTCCACGTCCACGTCCAAGTCCACGTCCAAGTCCACGTCCACGTCCAGGTCCACGTCCACGTCCACGTCGTCCTCGACCACGTTCAGGTCCACGTCCACGACCACGTCCACGTCCACGTCCACGTCCACGTCCATGTCCACGTCCACGTCCACGACCATGTCCACGTCCACGTCCAGGTCAAAGTCCACGTCCACGTCCAAGTCCACGTCCACGTCCAGGTCCATGTCCACGTCCACGTCCACGTCCACGTCCAGGTCCACGTCCAGGTCCAAGTCCACGTCCACGACCACGTCCACGTCCACGTCTACGTCCACGTCCACGTCCACGTCCACGTCCACGTCCAGGTCCACGTTTAAGTCCACGTCCAGGTCCACGTTTAAGTCCACGTCCACGTCCACGTCCAGGTCCACGTCCATGACCACGTCCAGGTCCACATCCACGTCTACGTCCACGTCCACGTCCCCGTTCACGACCACGTCCACGTCCACGTCCATGTCCACGTCCACGTCCACGACCACATCCACGTCCACGTCCACATCCAGGTCCACGTCCACGTCCACATCCACGTCCACGACCACGTCCACGTCCACGTCCACGTCCACGACCACATCCACGTCCATGTCCACGTCCACGTCCACGTCCATGTACACGTCCACGTCCACGTCCACGTCCACGATCACGTCCACGTGCCCGTCCACGTCCACGTCCACGTCCAGGTCCACGTCCACGTCCACGTCCACGTCCACGACCACGTCCGCGTCCACGTCCACGTCCACGTCCACGTCCAGGTCCACGTCCAAGTCCACGTCCAAGTCCACGTCCACGTCCTCCACGTCCACGTCCACGTCCTCCACGTCCACGTCCACGTCCACGTCCACGTCCAGGTCCACGTCCACGTCCACGTCCACGTCCACGACCACGTCCACGTCCACGACCACGTCCACGTCCACGTCCACCTCCGCGTCCAATTCCACGTCAATGTCCAGGTCCAGGTCCACGTCCACGTCCACGTCCACGTCGATGTCCACGACCACGTCCACGTCCACGTCCAGGTCCACGTCCACGTCCAAGTCCACGTCCACGTCCAGGTCCACGTCCACGTCCACGTCCAAGTCCATGTCCACGTCCAGGTACACGTCCACGTCGACGTCCACGTCCACGTCCAAGTCCACGTCCAGTTCCACATCCACGTCCACGTCCACGTCCACGTCCACATCTACGTCCACGTCCACGTCCACGTCCATGTCCACGACCACGTCCACGTCCACGTCCACGTCCAGGTCCACGTCCACGTCCAAGTCCACGTCCACGTCCAGGTCCACGTCCACATCCACGTCCACGTCCAAGTCCACGTCCACGTCGACGTCCACGTCCACGTCCACGTCCACGTCCAAGTCCACGTCCAGGTCCACGTCCACGTCCACGTCCACGTCTACGTCCACGTCCACGTCCACGTCCACGTCCAAGTCCACGTCCACGTCCACGTCCAAGTCTACGTCCACGTCCAGGTCCACATCCACGTCCACGTCCACGTCCAAGTCTAGGTCTACATCCAGGTCCACATCCACGTCCACGTCTACGTCCACGACCACGTCCACATCCACGTCCACGTCCACGTCCAAAACCACGTCCACGTCCACGTCCACGTCCTCCACGTCCACGTCCACGTCCTCCTTGTCCACGTCCACGTCTACGACCACGTCCACGTCCACGTCCACGACCACGTCCACGTCCACGTCCACGACCACGTCCACGTCCACGTCCACGACCATGTCCACGATCATGTCCACATCCACGTCCACGTCCAGGTCCAGGTCCACGTCCATGTCCACGTCCACGACCACGTCCACGTCCACGTCCATGTCCACGTCCAGGTCCACGTCCAAGTCCACGTCCACGTCCACGTCCACGTCCTCCACGTCCACGTCCACGTCCTCCTCGTCCACGTCCACGTCCACGACCATGTCCACGTCCACGTCCACGTCAACGTCCACGTCCACGTCCATGTCCACGACCATGTACACGTCCACGTCCACGTCCACATCCATGACCACGTCCACGTCAACATCCACCTCCACGTCCACATCCACGTCCACGACCACGTCCACGTCAACGACCACCTCCGCGTCCACATCCAGGTCCACGTCCACGTCCACATCCACGACCACGTCCACGTCCACGTCCAAGTCCACGTCCAGGTCCACGTCCACGTCCACATCCACGACCACGTCCACGTCCACGTCCACGTCCAGGTCCACGTCCACGTCCACGTCCACGTCCACGACCACGTCCACGTCCACGTCCATGTCCACGTCCACGTCCACGTCCATGTACACGTCCACGTCCACGTCCACGTCCACGATCACGTCCACGTGCCCGTCCACGTCCACGTCCAGGTCCACGTCCACGTCCACGTCCACGACCACGTCCGCGTCCACGTCCACGTCCACGTCCGCGTCCACGTCCACGTCCACGTCCACGTCCACGTCCAGGTCCACGTCCAAGTCCACGTCCACGTCCACGTCCACGTCCTCCACGTCCACGTCCACTTCCTCCACGTCCACGTCCACGTCCACGTCCACGTCCACGTCCATGACCACGTCCAGGTCCACGTCCACGTCCATGTCCACGTCCACGACCACGTCCACGTCCACGTCCACCTCCACGTCCAATTCCACGTCAATGTCCAGGTCCAGGTCCACGTCCACGTCCACGTCCACGTCGATGTCCACGACCACGTCCACGTCCACGTCCAGGTCCACGTCCACGTCCACGTCTACGTCCACGTCCACGTCCATGTCCACGACCACGTCCACGTCCACGTCCAGATCCACGTCCACGTCCACGTCCAAGTCCACGTCCACGTCCAGGTACACGTCCACGTCGACGTCCACGTCCACGTCCATGTCCACGTCCAGGTCCACGTCCACGTCCACGTCCACGTCTACGTCCACGTCCACATCCATGTCCACGACCACGTCCACGTCCAGGTCCACATCCACGTCCAAGTCCACGTCCAGGTCCACGTCCACGTCCACGTCCACGTCCAAGTCCACGTCCACGTCCACGTCCACGTCCACGTCCACGTCCACTTCCACGTCCAAGTCCACGTCCAGGTCCACGTCCACGTCCACGTCCACGTCCACGTCTACGTCCACGTCCACGTCCACGTCCACGTCCACGTCCAAGTCCACGTCCACGTCCACGTCCAAGTCTACGTCCACGTCCAGGTCCACATCCACGTCCACGTCCACGTCCAAGTCCAGGTCTACATCCAGGTCCACGTCCACGTCCACGTCTACGTCCACGACCACGTCCACGTCCACGTCCACGTCCAAAACCACGTCCACGTCCACGTCCTCCACGTCCACGTCCATGTCCTCCTTGTCCACGTCCACGTCTACGACCACGTCCACGTCCACGTCCACGACCACCTCCACGTCCACGACCACGTCCACGTCCACGTCCACGACCATGTCCACGATCATGTCCACATCCACGTCCACGTCCAGGTCCAGGTCCACGTCCACGTCCACGACCACGTCCACGTCCATGTCCACGTCCAGGTCCCAACCAAGTCCACGTCCACGTCCATGTCCACGTCCACGTCCTCCACGTCCACGTCCACGTCCTCCTCGTCCACGTCCACATCCACAACCATGTCCACGTCCACGTCCACGTCAACGTCCACGTCCACGTCCACGTCCACGACCATGTACACGTCCACGTCCACGTCCACATCCATGACCACGTCCACGTCAACGTCCACCTCCATGTCCACGTCCACGTCCACGACCACGTCCACATCACCGTCCACGTCCACGTCCACGTCCAGGACCACGTCCACGTCCACGTCCAAGTCCACGTCCACGACCACGTCCACGATCACGTCCACGATCACGTCCACGACCACGTCCACGTCCACGACCACGTCCACGACCACGTCCACGTCCACGTCTACGTCCACGACCACGACCACGTCCACGTCCTCGTCCACGTCCACGTCCACGTCCACGTCCACGACCACGTCCACGTCCACGTCCACGTCCACGTCCACATCCACGTCCAAGTCAACGTCCACGTCCACGTCCAAGTCCACGTCCACGTCCACGTCCAGGTCCACGTCCACGTCCACGTCCACGTCCACGACCACGTCCACGTCCACGACCACGTCCACGTCCACGTCCACGACCACGTCCGCGTCCACGTCCAAGTCCAAGTCCAACTCCACATCCAAGTCCACGTCCACGTCCACGTCCACGTCCACGACCACGTCCACGTCCACGTCCACGACCACGTCCACGTCCACGTCCACGACCACGTCCGCGTCCACGTACAAGTCCAAGTCCAAGTCCACGTCCAAGTCCACGTCCACGTCCACGTCCACGACCACGTCAACGTCCACGTCCACGTCCACGTCCACGTCTACGTCCACGTCCACGTCCAAGTCCATGTGTAAGTCCACGTCCACGTCCACGTCCACGTCCACGACCACGTCCACGTCCACGACCACGTCCACGTCCACGTCCACGTCCAAGTCCATGTCTACGTCCACATCCACGTCTACGTCCACGACCACGTCCACGTCCACGTCCAAGTCGACGACCATGTCTACGTCCACGTACACGTCCACGTCCACGTCCACGACCACGTCCACGTCCACGTCCAAGTCCACGTCCATGTCCAAGTCCACGTCCAGGTCCACGACTACGTCCACGTCCACGACCACGTCCACGTCTACGTCTACGTCTACGTCCACGTCCACGTCCAGGTCCACGTCCACGTCCACGTCCATGACCACGTCCAGGTCCACGTCCACGTCCACGTCCAGGTCCACGACCACGTCCACGTCCACGTCCACCTCCACGTCCAATTCCACGTCAATGTCCAGGTCCAGGTCCACGTCCACGTCCACGTCGATGTCCACGACCACGTCCACGTCCACGTCCAGGTCCACGTCCACGTCCAAGTCCACGTCCACGTCCAGGTCCACGTCCACGTCCACGTCTACGTCCAAGTCCACGTCCACGTCCAGGTACACGTCCACGTCGACGTCCACGTCCACGTCCAAGTCCACGTCCAGGTCCACGTCCACGTCCACGTCCACGTCCACGTCCATGTCCACGACCACGTCCACGTCCACGTCCACGTCCAGGTCCACGTCCACGTCCACGTCCAAGTCCACGTCCACGTCCAGGTCCACGTCCACGTCCACGTCCACGTCCAAGTCCACGTCCACGTCCACGTCCACGTCCACGTCCACGTCCAAGTCCACGTCCAGGTCCACGTCCACGTCCACGTCCACGTCCACGTCCACGTCTACGTCCACGTCCACGTCCACGTCCACGTCCACGTCCAAGTCCACGTCCACGTCCACGTCCAAGTCTACGTCCACGTCCAGGTCCACATCCACGTCCACGTCCACGTCCAAGTCCAGGTCTACATCCAGGTCCACGTCCACGTCCACGTCTACGTCCACGACCACATCCACGTCCACGTCCACGTCCAAAACCACGTCCACGTCCACGTCCACGTCCTCCACGTCCACGTCCACGTCCTCCTTGTCCACGTCCACGTCTACGACCACGTCCACGTCCACGACCACGTCCACGTCCACGTCCACGACCACGTCCACGTCCACGTCCACGACCACGTCCACGTCCACGTCCACGACCATGTCCACGATCATGTCCACATCCACGTCCACGTCCAGGTCCAGGTCCACGTCCACGTCCACGTCCACGACCACGTCCACGTCCACGTCCATGTCCACGTCCAGGTCCACGTCCAAGTCCACGTCCACGTCCATGTCCACGTCCACGTCCTCCACGTCCACGTCCACGTCCTCCTTGTCCACGTCCACGTCCACGACCATGTCCACGTCCACGTCCACGTCAACGTCCACGTCCACGTCCACGACCATGTACACGTCCACGTCCACGTCCACATCCATGACCACGTCCACGTCAACGTCCACCTCCACGTCCTCGTCCACGTCCACGTCCACGACCACGTCCACATCAACGTCCACGTCCACGTCCACGTCCAGGACCACGTCCACGTCCACGTCCAAGTCCACGTCCACGACCACGTCCACGATCACGTCCACGATCACGTCCACGACCACGTCCACGTCCACGACCACGTCCACGACCACGTCCACGTCCACGTCTACGTCCACGACCACGACCACGTCCACGTCCTCGTCCACGTCCACGTCCACGTCCACGACCACGTCCACGTCCACGTCCACGTCCACGTCCACGTCCACATCCACGTCCAAGTCAACGTCCACGTCCACGTCCAAGTCCACGTCCACGTCCACGTCCAGGTCCACGTCCACGTCCACGTCCACGTCCACGACCACGTCCACGTCCACGACCACGTCCACGTCCACGTCCACGACCACGTCCGCGTCCACGTCCAAGTCCAAGTCCAAGTCCACATCCAAGTCCACGTCCACGTCCACGTCCACGACCACGTCCACGTCCACGTCCACGACCACGTCCGCGTCCACGTCCAAGTCCAAGTCCACGTCCAAGTCCACGTCCACGTCCACGTCCACGTCCACGACCACGTCAACGTCCACGTCCACGTCCACGTCCACATCTACGTCCACGTCCACGTCCAAGTCCATGTCCAAGTCCACGTCCACGTCCACGTCCACGTCCACGACCACGTCCACGTCCACGACCACGTCCACGTCCACGTCCACGTCCAAGTCCACGTCTACGTCCACATCCACGTCTACGTCCACGACCACGTCCACGTCCACGTCCAAGTCGACGACCATGTCTACGTCCACGTACACGTCCACGTCCACGTCCACGACCACGTCCACGTCCACGTCCAAGTCCACGTCCATGTCCAAGTACACGTCCAGGTCCACGACTACGTCCACGTCCACGACCACGTCCACGTCTACGTCTACGTCTACGTCCAGGTCCACGTCCACGTCTACGTCTACGTCCACGTCCACGTCCAGGTCCACGTCCACGTCCACGTCCATGACCACGTCAAGGTCCACGTCCACGTCCACGTCCAGGTCCACGACCACGTCAACGTCCACGTCTACCTCCACGTCCAATTCCACGTCAATGTCCAGGTCCAGGTCCACGTCCACGTCCACGTCGATGTCCACGACCACGTCCACGTCCACGTCCAGGTCCACGTCCACGTCCAAGTCCACGTCCACGTCCAGGTCCACGTCCACGTCCACGTCTACGTCCAAGTCCACGTCCACGTCCAGGTACACGTCCACGTCGACGTCCACGTCCACGTCCAAGTCCACATCCAGGTCCACGTCCACGTCCACGTCCGCGTCCACGTCCATGTCCACGACCACGTCCACGTCCACGTCCACGTCCAGGTCCACGTCCACGTCCAAGTCCACGTCCACGTTTAGGTCCACGTCCACGTCCACGTCCACGTCCAAGTCCACGTCCACGTCCACGTCCACGTCCAAGTCCGCGTCCACGTCCACGTCCACGTCCAAGTCCACGTCCAGGTCTACGTCCACGTCCACGTCCACGTCCACGTCCACGGCCACGTCCACGTCCACGTCCAAGTCTACGTCCACGTCCAGGTCCACATCCACGTCCATGTCTACGTCCAAGTCCAGGTCTACATCCAGGTCCACGTCCACGTCCACGTCTACGTCCACGACCACGTCCACGTCCATGTCCACGTCCACGTCCAAAACCACGTCCACGTCCACGTCCACGTCCTCCACGTCCACGTCCACGTCCTCCTTGTCCACGTCCACGTCTAAGACCACGTCCACGTCCACGTCCACGACCACGTCCACGTCCACGTCCACGACCACGTCCACGTCCACGTCCACGACCATGTCCACGATCATGTCCACATCCACGTCCACGTCCAGGTCCAGGTCCACGTCCACGTCCACGTCCACGACCACGTTCACGTCCACGTCCATGTCCACGTCCAGGTCCACGTCCAAGTCCACGTCCACGTCCACGTCCACGTCCTCCACGTCCACGTCCACGTCCTCCTCGTCCACGTCCACGTCCACGACCATGTCCACGTCCACGTCCACGTCAACGTCCACGTCCACGTCCATGTCCACGACCATGTACACGTCCACGTCCACGTCCACATCCATGACCACGTCCACGTCAACATCCACCTCCACGTCCACGTCCACGTCCACGTCCACGACCACGTCCACATCAACGTCCACGTCCACGTCCAGGACCACGTCCACGTCCACGTCCAAGTCCACATCCACGACCACGTCCACGATCACGTCCACGACCACGTCCACGTCCACGACCACGTCCACGACCACGTCCACGTCCAAGTCCACGTCCAGGTCCACGTCCACGTCCACATCCACGACCACGTCCACGTCCACGTCCACGTCCAGGTCCACGTCCACGTCCACGTCCACGTCCACGACCACGTCCACGTCCACGTCCATGTCCACGTCCACGTCCACGTCCATGTACACGTCCACGTCCACGTCCACGTCCACGATCACGTCCACGTGCCCGTCCACGTCCACGTCCACGTCCAGGTCCACGTCCACGTCCACGACCACGTCCGCGTCCACGTCCACGTCCACGTCCACGTCCAGGTCCACGTCCAAGTCCACGTCCACGTCCACGTCCACGTCCTCCACGTCCACGTCCACTTCCTCCACGTCCACGTCCACGTCCACGTCCATGACCCCGTCCAGGTCCACGTCCACGTCCACGACCACGTCCACGTCCACGTCCACCTCCACGTCCAATTCCACGTCAATGTCCAGGTCCAGGTCCACGTCCACGTCCACGTCGATGTCCACGACCACGTCCACGTCCACGTCCAGGTCCACGTCCACGTCCAAGTCCACGTCCACGTCCAGATCCACGTCCACGTCCACGTCCAAGTCCACGTTCACGTCCAGGTACACGTCCACGTCGACGTCCACGTCCACGTCCAAGTCCACGTCCAGGTCCACGTCCACGTCCACGTCCACGTCCAAGTCCACGTCCACGTCCACGTCCATGTCCACGACCACGTCCACGTCCACGTCCAGGTCCACATCCACGTCCAAGTCCACGTCCAGGTCCACGTCCAGGTCCACGTCCACGTCCACGTCCACGTCCACGTCGACGTCCACATCCACGTCCACGACCACGTCCACGTCCACGTCCAGGTCCACATCCACGTCCAAGTCCACGTCCAGGTCCACGTCCACGTCCACGTCCACGTCCAAGTCCACGTCCACGTCCACGTCCACGTCGACGTCCACGTCCACGTCCACTTCCACGTCCAAGTCCACGTCCAGGTCCACGTCCACGTCCACGTCCACGTCTACGTCCACGTCCACGTCCACGTCCACGTCCAAGTCTACGTCCACGTCCAGGTCCACATCCACGTCCACGTCCACGTCCAAGTCCAGGTCTACATCCACGTCCACGTCCACGTCCACGTCTACGTCCACGACCACGTCCACGTCCACGTCCACGTCCAAAACCACGTCCACGTCCACGTCCACGTCCTCCACGTCCACGTCCACGTCCTCCTTGTCCACGTCCACGTCTACGACCACGTCCACGTCCACGTCCACGACCACGTCCACGTCCACGTCCACGACCACGTCCACGTCCACGTCCACGACCATGTCCACGATCATGTACACATCCACGTCCACGTCCAGGTCCAGGTCCACGTCCACGTCCACGTCCACGACCACGTCCACGTCCACGTCCATGTCCACGTCCAGGTCCACGTCCAAGTCCACGTCCACGTCCATGTCCATGTCCACGTCCTCCACGTCCACGTCCACGTCCTGCTCGTCCACGTCCACGTCCACGACCATGTCCACGTCCACGTCCACGTCAACGTCCACGTCCACGTCCACGTCCACGACCATGTACACGTCCACGTCCACGTCCACATCCATGACCACGTCCACGTCAACGTCCACCTCCACGTCCACGTCCACGTCCAGGACCACGTCCACGTCAACGTCCACGTCCACGTCCACGTCCAGGACCACGTCCACGTCCACGTCCAAGTCCACGTCCACGACCACGTCCACGATCACGTCCACGATCACGTCCACGACCACGTCCACGTCCATGACCACGTCCACGACCACGTCCACGTCCACGTCCACGTCTACGTCCACGACCACGACCACGTCCACGTCCTCGTCCACGTCCACGTCCACGTCCACGACCACGTCCACGTCCACGTCCACGTCCACATCCACGTCCAAGTCAACGTCCACGTCCACGTCCAAGTCCACGTCCACGTCCACGTCCAGGTCCACGTCCACGTCCACGTCCACGTCCACGTCCACGACCACGTCCACGTCCACGACCACGTCCACGTCCATGTCCACGACCACGTCCGCGTCCACGTCCAAGTCCAAGTCCAAGTCCACGTCCAAGTCCACGTCCACGTCCACGTCCACGACCACGTCCACGTCCACGTCCACGACCACGTCCGCGTCCACGTCCAAGTCCAAGTCCAAGTCCACGTCCAAGTCCACGTCCACGTCCACGTCCACGTCCACGACCACGTCAACGTCCACGTCCACATCCACGTCCACGTCTACGTCCACGTCCACGTCCACGTCCAAGTCCATGTCCAAGTCCACGTCCACGTCCACGACCACGTCCACGTCCACGACCACGTCCACGTCCACGTCCACGTCCAAGTCCACGTCTACGTCCACATCCACGTCTACGTCCACGACCACGTCCACGTCCACGTCCAAGTCGACGACCATGTCTACGTCCACGTACACGTCCACGTCCACGACCACGACCACGTCCACGTCCACGTCCAAGTCCACGTCCAGGTCCACGACTACGTCCACGTCCACGACCACGTCCACGTCTACGTCTACGTCTACGTCCACGTCCACGTCCAGGTCCACGTCCACGTCCACGTCCATGACCACGTCCAGGTCCACGTCCACGTCCACGTCCAGGTCCACGACCACGTCCACGTCCACGTCCACCTCCACGACCAATTCCACGTCAATGTCCAGGTCCAGGTCCACGTCCACGTCCACGTCGATGTCCACGACCACGTCCACGTCCACGTCCAGGTCCACGTCCACGTCCAAGTCCACGTCCACGTCCAGGTCCACGTCCACGTCCACGTCCACGTCCAAGTCCACGTCCACGTCCAGGTACACGTCCACGTCGACGTCCACGTCCACGTCCAAGTCCACGTCGAGGTCCACGTCCACGTCCACGTCCACGTCCACGTCCACGTCCACGTCCATGTCCACGACCACGTCCACGTCCACGTCCACGTCCAGGTCCACGTCCACGTCCAAGTCCACGTCCACGTCCAGGTCCACGTCCACGTCCACGTCCACGTCCAAGTCCACATCCACGTCCACGTCCACGTCCACGTCCACGTCCAAGTCCACGTCCAGGTCCACGTCCACGTCCACGTCCACGTCCACGTCCACGTCCACGTCCAAGTCCACGTCCACGTCCACGTCCAAGTCTACGTCCACGTCCAGGTCCACATCCACATCCACGTCCACGTCCAATTCCAGGTCTACATCCAGGTCCACGTCCACGTCCACGTCTACGTCCACGACCACGTCCACGTCCATGTCCACGTCCACGTCCAAAACCACGTCCACGTCCACGTCCACGTCCTCCACGTCCACGTCCACGTCCTCCTTGTCCACGTCCACGTCTACGACCACGTCTACGTCCACGTCCACGACCACGTCCACGTCCACGTCCACGACCACGTCCACGTCCACGTCCAAGTCCAAGTCCAAGTCCACGTCCAAGTCCACGTCCACGTCCACGTCCACGTCCACGACCACGTCCACGTCCACGTCCACGACCACGTCCGCGTCCACGTCCAAGTCCAAGTCCAAGTCCACGTCCAAGTCCACGTCCATGTCCACGACCATGTCCACATCCACGTCCACGACCATGTCCACATCCACGTCCACGACCATGTCCACGATCATGTCCACATCCACGTCCACGTCCAGGTCCAGGTCCACGTCCACGTCCACGACCACGTCCACGTCCACGTCCATGTCTACGTCCAGGTCCACGTCCAAGTCCACGTCCACGTCCACGTCCACGTCCACGTCCTCCACGTCCACGTCCACGTCCTCCTCGTCCACGTCCACGTCCACGACCATGTCCACGTCCACGTCCACGTCAACGTCCACGTCCACGTCCACGTCCACGACCATGTACACGTCCACGTCCACGTCCACATCCATGACCACGTCCACGTCAACGTCCACCTCCATGACCACGTCCACGTCCACGACCACGTCCACGTCCACGTCCATGTACACGTCCACGTCCACGTCCACGTCCACGATCACGTCCACGTGCCCGTCCACGTCCACTTCCAGGTCCACGTCCACGTCCACGTCCACGTCCACGACCACGTCCGCGTCCACGTCCGCGTCTACGTCCAGGTCCACGTCCAAGTCCACGTCGACGTCCACGTCCATGTCCTCCACGTCCACGTCCACGTCCTCCACGTCCACGTCCACGTCTTCGTCCACGTCCACGTCCTGGTCCAGGTCCACGTCCACGTCCAAGTCCACGTCCACGTCCACGTCCACGTCCACGTCCACGTCCACGTCCACGTCCACGTCCAAGTCCACGTCCAGGTCCACGTCCACGTCCACGTCCACGTCTACGTCCACGTCCACGTCCACGTCCACGTCCACGTCCAGTCCACGTCCACGTCCACGTCTAAGTCTACGTCCACGTCCAGGTCCACATCCACGTCCACGTCCACGTCCAAGTCCAGGTCTACATCCAGGTCCACGTCCACGTCCACGTCTACGTCCACGACCACGTCCACGTCCATGTCCACGTCCACGTCCAAAACCACGTCCACGTCTACGTCCACGTCCTCCACGTCCACGTCCACGTCCTCCTTGTCCACGTCCACGTCTACGACCACGTCCACGTCCACGTCCACGACCACGTCCACGTCCACGTCCACGACCACGTCCACGTCCACGTCCACGACCATGTCCACGATCATGTCCACATCCACGTCCACGTCCAGGTCCAGGTCCACGTCCACGTCCACGTCCACGTCCAAGTCCACATCCACGTCCACGTCCACGTCCACGTCCACGTCCAAGTCCACGTCCAGGTCCACGTCCACGTCCACGTCCACGTCCACGTCCACGTCCAAGTCCACGTCCACGTCCACGTCCAAGTCTACGTCCACGTCCAGGTCCACATCCACATCCACGTCCACGTCCAATTCCAGGTCTACATCCAGGTCCACGTCCACGTCCACGTCTACGTCCACGACCACGTCCACGTCCATGTCCACGTCCACGTCCAAAACCACGTCCACGTCCACGTCCACGTCCTCCACGTCCACGTCCACGTCCTCCTTGTCCACGTCCACGTCTACGACCACGTCTACGTCCACGTCCACGACCACGTCCACGTCCACGTCCACGACCACGTCCACGTCCACGTCCAAGTCCAAGTCCAAGTCCACGTCCAAGTCCACGTCCACGTCCACGTCCACGTCCACGACCACGTCCACGTCCACGTCCACGACCACGTCCGCGTCCACGTCCAAGTCCAAGTCCAAGTCCACGTCCAAGTCCACGTCCATGTCCACGACCATGTCCACATCCACGTCCACGACCATGTCCACATCCACGTCCACGACCATGTCCACGATCATGTCCACATCCACGTCCACGTCCAGGTCCAGGTCCACGTCCACGTCCACGTCCACGACCACGTCCACGTCCACGTCCATGTCTACGTCCAGGTCCACGTCCAAGTCCACGTCCACGTCCACGTCCACGTCCACGTCCTCCACGTCCACGTCCACGTCCTCCTCGTCCACGTCCACGTCCACGACCATGTCCACGTCCACGTCCACGTCAACGTCCACGTCCACGTCCACGTCCACGACCATGTACACGTCCACGTCCACGTCCACATCCATGACCACGTCCACGTCAACGTCCACCTCCATGACCACGTCCACGTCCACGACCACGTCCACGTCCACGTCCATGTATACGTCCACGTCCACGTCCACGTCCACGTCCACGACCACGTCCGCGTCCACGTCCGCGTCTACGTCCAGGTCCACGTCCAAGTCCACGTCGACGTCCACGTCCATGTCCTCCACGTCCACGTCCACGTCCTCCACGTCCACGTCCACGTCTTCGTCCACGTCCACGTCCTGGTCCAGGTCCACGTCCACGTCCAAGTCCACGTCCACGTCCACGTCCACGTCGACGTCCACGTCCACGTCCACGTCCACGTCCAAGTCCACGTCCAGGTCCACGTCCACGTCCACGTCCACGTCTACGTCCACGTCCACGTCCACGTCCACGTCCAGTCCACGTCCACGTCCACGTCTAAGTCTACGTCCACGTCCAGGTCCACATCCACGTCCACGTCCACGTCCAAGTCCAGGTCTACATCCAGGTCCACGTCCACGTCCACGTCTACGTCCACGACCACGTCCACGTCCATGTCCACGTCCACGTCCAAAACCACGTCCACGTCTACGTCCACGTCCTCCACGTCCACGTCCACGTCCTCCTTGTCCACGTCCACGTCTACGACCACGTCCACGTCCACGTCCACGACCACGTCCACGTCCACGTCCACGACCACGTCCACGTCCACGTCCACGACCATGTCCACGATCATGTCCACATCCACGTCCACGTCCAGGTCCAGGTCCACGTCCACGTCCACGTCCACGACCACGTCCACGTCCATGTCCATGTCCACGTCCAGGTCCACGTCCAAGTCCACGTCCACGTCCACGTCCACGTCCACGTCCTCCACATCCACGTCCACGTCCTCCTCGTCCACGTCCATGTCCACGACCATGTCCACGTCCACGTCCACGTCAACGTCCACGTCCACGTCCACGTCCACGACCATGTACACGTCCACGTCCACGTCCACATCCATGACCACGTCCACGTCAACGTCCACCTCCACGTCCACGTCCACGTCCACGACCACGTCCACGTCAACGTCCACGTCCACGTCCAGGACCACGTCCACGTCCACGTCCAAGTCCACGTCCACGACCACGTCCACGATCACGTCCACGATCACGTCCACGACCACGTCCACGTCCAAGTCCACGTCCAGGTCCACGTCCACGTCCACGTCTACGTCCACGTCCACGTCCACGTCCACGTCCACGACCACGTCCACGTCCACGTCCAGGTCCACGACCACGTCCACGTCCACGTCCAGGTCCACATCCACGTCCAAGTCCACGTCCACGTCCACGTCCACGTCCACGTCCACGTCCACGTCCAGGTCCACGTCCACGTCCACGTCCACGACCACGTCCACGTCCACGTCCACGTCCACGTCCACGTCCACGACCACGTCCACGTCCACGTCCAAGTCCACGTCCACGTCCAGGTACACGTCCACGTCGACGTCCACGTCCACGTCCAAGTCCACGTCCAGGTCCACGTCCACGTCCACGTCCACGTCCACGTCCACGTCCAGGTCCACGTCCACGTCCAAGTCCACGTCCACGTCCAGGTCCAGGTCCAGGTCCAGGTCCACGTCCACGTCCACGTCCACGTCCACGTCCAAGTCCACGTCCACGTCCACGTCCACGTCCACGTCCACGTCCACGTCCAAGTCCACGTCCACGTCCACGTCCAAGTCTACGTCCACGTCCAGGTCCACATCCACGTCCACGTCCACGTCCAAGTCCAGGTCTACATCCAGGTCCACGTCCACGTCCACGTCTACGTCCACGACCACGTCCACGTCCATGTCCACGTCCACGTCCAAAACCACGTCCACGTCCACGTCCACGTCCTCCACGTCCACGTCCACGTCCTCCTTGTCCACGTCCACGTCTACGACCACGTCCACGTCCACGTCCACGACCACGTCCACGTCCACGTCCACGACCACGTCCACGTCCACGTCCACGACCATGTCCACGATCATGTCCACATCCACGTCCACGTCCAGGTCCAGGTCCACGTCCACGTCCACGTCCACGACCACGTCCACGTCCACGTCCATGTCCACGTCCAGGTCCACGTCCAAGTCCACGTCCACGTCCACGTCCACGTCCACGTCCTCCACGTCCACGTCCACGTCCTCCTCGTCCACGTCCACGTCCACGACCATGTCCACGTCCACGTCCACGTCAACGTCCACGTCCACGTCCACGTCCACGACCATGTACACGTCCACGTCCACGTCCACATCCATGACCACGTCCACGTCAACGTCCACCTCCATGACCACGTCCACGTCCACGACCACATCCACGTCAACGTCCACGTCCACGTCCACGTCCACGTCCACGACCACGTCCACGTCAAAGTCCACGTCCAGGTCCACGTCCACGTCCACGTCCACGACCACGTCCACGTCCAGATCCACGTCCACGTCCACGTCCACGTCCACGACCACGTCCACGTCCACGTCCACGTCCACGTCCACGACCACGTCCACGTCCACGTCCATGTCCACGTCCACGTCCACGTCCATGTACACGTCCACGTCCACGTCCACGTCCACGATCACGTCCACGTGCCCGTCCACGTCCACGTCCAGGTCCACGTCCACGTCCACGTCCACGTCCAGGTCCACGTCCAAGTCCACGTCGACGTCCTCGTCCATGTCCTCCACGTCCACGTCCACGTCCTCCACGTCCACGTCCACGTCTTCGTCCACGTCCACGTCCACGTCCACGTCCACGTCCACGTCCACGTCCAAGTCCACGTCCACGTCCACGTCCACGTCCACGTCCACGTCCACGTCCAAGTCCACGTCCAGGTCCACGTCCACGTCCACGTCTACGTCCACGTCCACGTCCACGTCCACGTCCACGTCCACGTCCAAGTCCACGTCCACGTCCACGTCCAAGTCTACGTCCACGTCCAGGTCCACATCCACGTCCACGTCCACGTCCAAGTCCAGGTCTACATCCAGGTCCACGTCCACGTCCACGTCTACGTCCACGACCACGTCCACGTCCATGTCCACGTCCACGTCCAAAACCACATCCACGTCCACGTCCACGTCCACGTCCTCCACGTCCACGTCCACGTCCTCCTTGTCCACGTCCACGTCTACGACCACGTCCACGTCCACGTCCACGACCACGTCCACGTCCACGTCAAAGACCACGTCCACGTCCACGTCCACGACCATGTCCACGATCATGTCCACATCCACGTCCACGTCCAGGTCCAGGTCCACGTCCACGTCCACGTCCACGACCACGTCCACGTCCACGTCCATGTCCACGTCCAGGTCCACGTCCAAGTCCACGTCCACGTCCACGTCCACGTCCTCCACGTCCACGTCCACGTCCTCCTCGTCCACGTCCATGTCCACGACCATGTCCACGTCCACGTCCACGTCAACGTCCACGTCCACGTCCACGTCCACGACCATGTACACGTCCACGTCCACGTCCACATCCATGACCACGTCCACGTCAACGTCCACGTCCACGACCACGTCCACGTCAACGTCCACGTCCACGTCCACGTCCAGGACCACGTCCACGTCCACGTCCAAGTCCACGTCCACGACCACGTCCACGATCACGTCCACGATCACGTCCACGACCACGTCCACGTCCACGACCACGTCCACGTCCAAGTCCACGTCCAGGTCCACGTCCACGTCCACGTCCACGACCACGTCCACGTCCACGTCCACGTCCAGGTCCACGTCCACGTCCACGTCCACGACCACGTCCACGTCCACGTCCACGTCCACGTCCACAACCACGTCCACGTCCACGTCCATGTCCACGTCCACGTCCACGTCCACGTCCATGTACACGTCCACGTCCACGTCCACGTCCACGATCACGTCCACGTGCCCGTCCACGTCCACGTCCAGGTCCACGTCCACGTCCACGTCCACGTCCACGTCCAGGTCCACGTCCACGTCCACGTCCACGTCCACGACCACGTCCGCGTCCACGTCCACGTCCACGTCCACGTCCAGGTCCACGTCCAAGTCCACGTCGACGTCCACGTCCATGTCCTCCACGTCCACGTCCACGTCCACGTCCTCCACGTCCACGTCCACGTCTTCGTCCATGACCACGTCCAGGTCCACGTCCATGTCCACGTCCACGACCACGTCCACGTCCACGTCCACCTCCACGTCCAATTCCACGTCAATGTCCAGGTCCAGGTCCACGTCCACGTCCACGTCCACGTCGATGTCCACGACCACGTCCACGTCCACGTCCAGGTCCACGTCCACGTCCAAGTCCACGTCCACGTCCACGTCCACGTCCAGGTCCACGTCCACGTCCACGTCCACGTCCAAGTCCACGTCCACGTCCAAGTACACGTCCACGTCGACGTCCACGTCTACGTCCAAGTCCACGTCCAGGTCCACGTCCACGTCCACGTCCACCTCCACGTCTACGTCCACGTCCACGTCCACGTCCATGTCCACGACCACGTCCACGTCCACGTCCAGGTCCACGTCCACGTCCACGTCCACGTCCAAGTCCACATCCACGTCCACGTCCACGTCGACGTCCACGTCCACGTCCACTTCCACGTCCAAGTCCACGTCCAGGTCCACGTCCACGTCCACGTCCACGTCTACGTCCACGTCCACGTCCACGTCCACGTCCAAGTCCACGTCTACGTCCACGTCCAAGTCTACGTCCACGTCCAGGTCCACATTCATGTCCACGTCCACGTCCAAGTCCAGGTCTACATCCAGGTCCACGTCCACGTCCACGTCTACGTCCACGACCACGTCCACGTCCACGTCCACGTCCAAAACCACGTCCACGTCCACGTCCACGTCCTCCACGTCCACGTCCACGTCCTCCTTGTCCACGTCCACGTCTACGACCACGTCCATGTCCACGTCCACGACCACGTCCACGTCCACGTCCACGACCACGTCCACGTACACGTCCACGACCATGTCCACGTCCAGGTCCACATCCACGTCCACGTCCAGGTCCACGTCCACGTCCACGTCCACGACCACGTCCACGTCCACGTCCAGGTCCACGTCCAGGTCCACGTCGAAGTCCACGTTCACGTCCACGTCCATGTCCACGTCCACGTCCTCCACGTCCACGTCCACGTCCTCCTCGTCCACGTCCACGTCCACGACCAGGTCCACGTCCACGTCAACGTCCACGTCCACGTCCACGTCCACGACCATGTACACGTCCACGTCCACGTCCACATCCATGACCACGTCCACGTCAACGTCCACCTCCACGTCCACGTCCACGTCCACGACCACGTCCACGTCAACGTCCACGTCCACGTCCACGTCCACATCCAGGACCACGTCCACGTCCACGTCCAAGTCCACGTCCACGACCACGTCCACGATCACGTCCACGATCACGTCCACGACTACGTCCACGTCCACGACCACGTCCACGTCCACGTCCACGTCCTCGTCCACGACCACGACCACGTCCACGTCCTCGTCCACGTCCACGTCCACGACCACGTCCACGTCCACGTCCACGTCCACGTCCACATCCACGTCCAAGTCAACGTCCACGTCCACGTCCAAGTCCACGTCCACGTCCACGTCCACGTCCACGTCCACGTCCACGTCCACGTCCACGTCCAAGTCCACGTCCATGTCCACATCCACGTCCACGTCCACGTCCAAGTCCAGGTCTACATCCAGGTCCACGTCCACGTCCACGTCTACGTCCACGAGACGTCCACGTCCACGTCCACGTCCAAAACCACGTCCACGTCCACGTCCACGTCCTCCACGTCCACGTCCACGTCCTCCTTGTCCACGTCCACGTCTACGACCACGTCCATGTCCACGTCCACGACCACGTCCACGTCCACGTCCACGACCACGTCCACGTCCACGTCCACGACCATGTCCACGATCATGTCCACATCCACGTCCACGTCCAGGTCCAGGTCCACGTCCACGTCCACGACCACGTCCACGTCCACGTCCATGTCCACGTCTAGGTCCACGTCCAAGTCCACGTCCACGTCCACGTCCATGTCCACGTCCACGTCCTCCACGTCCACGTCCACGTCCTCCTCGTCCACGTCCACGTCCACGACCATGTCCACGTCCACGTCCACGTCAACGTCCACGTCCACGTCCACGTCCACGACCATGTACACGTCCACGTCCACGTCCACATCCATGACCACGTCCACGTCAACGTCCACCTCCATGACCACGTCCACGTCAACGTCCACGTCAACGTCCACGTCCACGTCCCCGACCACGTCCACGTCCACGTCCAAGTCCACGTCCAGGACCACGTCCACGATCACGTCCACGATCACGTCCACGACCACGTCCACGTCCACGACCACGTCCACGTCCACGACTACGTCCACGTCCACGACCACGTCCACGTCCACGTCCTCGTCCACGTCCACGTCCACGTCCACGACCACGTCCTCGTCCACGTCCACGTCCACGTCCACGACCACGTCCACGTCCACGTCCACGTCCACATCCACGTCCAAGTCAACGTCCACGTCCACGTCCAAGTCCACGTCCACGTCCACGTCCAGGTCCACGTCCACGTCCACGTCCACGTCCACGTCCACGTCCACGACCACGTCCACGTCCACGTCCACGTCCACGTCCACGACCACGTCCACGTCCACGACCACGTCCACGTCCACGTCCACGACCACGTCCACGTCCACGTCCATGACCACGTCCACTTCCACGTCCACATCCACGTCCACGTCCACGTCCAAGACCACGTCCACGTCCACGTCCAAGACCAAGTCCTTGTCCACGTCCAAGACCACGTCCTCCATGTCCACGTCCACGTCCTCCACATCCACGTCGACATCCACGTCCACGACCACGTCCACGTCCATGTCCACAACCACGTCCTCCTCGTCCACGTCCACGACCACGTCCACGTCCACGTCCACGTCCACGTCCACGTCCACGTCCACGTCCACCTTCACGTCCACGTCCACGTCCACGTCCATAACCACGTCCACGTCCTCGGCCACGTCCACGACCACGTCGACGTCTTCGTCCACGTCCACGTCCACGTCCACGATCACGTCCACGTCCACGACCACGTCCACGTCCACGTCCACGTCCACGACCACGTCCACGTCCACGTCCACGTCCACGACCACGTCCACGTCCACGACCACGTCCAGGTCCACGTCCACGTCCACGTCCACGTCCACGACCACGTCCACGTCCACGACCACGTCCACGTCCACGACCACGTCCACGTCCACGTCCACGTCCACGACCACGTCCACGTCCACGACCACGTCCACGTCCACGACCACGTCCACGTCCACGACCACGTCCACGTCCACGACCACGTCCACGTCCACGACCACGTCCACGTCCACGTCCAAGTCCACGTCCACGACCACGTCCACGTCCACGTCCAAGTCGATGACCACGTCCACGTCCACGTCCACGTCCACGACCACGTCCATGTCCACATCCACGTCCAGGTCCACGTCCACGTCCATGTTGTCAGCGAACCTTCCTCCTCTCAGCCGCCGCTCTCCTTCATGCACCTCCTCTTACCATGCACCTGCTCTTCTTCCTGCACCTTTTCTTCTCATGCCGACTCTCCAGTTTCCTCCTTCTCCCTTTTGCACAGCCTCACTTACCCACACAAAAGAGCCTGATCCCTCACCCCGTAGGTTCCCTATTATTGTCGTGCTGTCGTGTGCTAGAGCCTGAGACAATCAGTTTCACTAGTGCAAGGGAATATTAGCGAGAAAGCATCGATGGGTTGGAGGTGAGTGACCTTACCCCACCCCTGGCTGCACATTTCCTAAATGTGCGGCTCGGGGTTGGGGTTCGTTGGTTTCACATTTCGCCTTTCGGATTCTTTCCCCCTTTTTATCTCAACCGCTCTTATCCTTTTTCCCCCCTTCTACACCCTCGCTCCTAACAGTAACTTTACTACATCCTACAGCTATTACCTATATTCTTATTCCTATCTCATCTTCCTATGGACTTAGGATGAAACCCACACTCCACCATCATTCTACTGTTATTGCATATGCATTAAGTGCATATGCGGTGACAATGTCCACGTCCAAGACCACGTCCACGTCCACGTCCAGGTCCACGTCCACGTCCACGTCCACGTCCACGACCACGTCCACGTCCACGTCCACACCCAGGTCCACGTCCACGTCCATGTCCACGTCCTCCACGTCCACGTCCACGTCCCAGCGCTGCCTGCTTCCCAAATCTGTACCCTGCTGCTATCCAATGCAGCTCCTCGTCCCAGTCCCGCTTCCTCTTTTCCCCGTACGCTCGCAGTCCCCGCTTCAAGGTCTGGACCAGTCGCTCAGTCAGCCCATCGCTCTGTGGGTGGTACCGCGAAGTGCGCCTGTGGGTGATCCCGGTCTCCTCCAGCAGCCCCTTAAACTCCCCTTGGAACTCTGTCCCTTGATCTGTTAGGACCTCTGCACATGCCCCGAACCTGCACAACACTTGTTCCTTGAACGCTGCTGCCACGTGTCTGGAGCTCTTGCTCGGGATCGCTCTTACCTCCAGCCACTTGCTCACATGTTCGACCATGAGCACTATGTACTGCTTCCCCCCACGGCTCAGTGGCAGCTCCCCCGCCAGGTCTAAGGACCATCGGAAGTCGAGGCCTCGGATGGGCAGCGACTGCAACTCCGCCTTGGCTTGGGTGAGGTTTGCCCTGCTCATTTGGCATTCCTCACAGCCCTCCACCCACCCCTTTACTTGCCTCCGCATCCCCTCCCACCACCACCCTGTCTTCAATAGCTGCACTGTCCTTTCGTGCCCAAAGTGCCCTAGCTTGTTGTGGACCTCCTTAATCACCGCTCCCCTCTCACTTGGAGCCTGCACCAGCTTCCATCCGTCCTCTGTCTGCACCTGCAACTGCTGCTGGTACCACCAGTAGTGCTGGCCCCTTGCCCTTACTCGTGCCGGTAGCGCTTCATCCTCTCCCGTCTCTCCCTTTACCCATCGCAGGGCCGGCCCGTCCTCCCATATGTCTGCTGGCCCCTTCCCCTCCTTGGCCCCGTTCTGCTCCGCCAATCTGGCCAGCAGTGTCAAGGTTAGGGTGGGCTCAAGCGGTGGGGGGTTCCGTGAGAGGCCATCTACGTGTTGCAGTGTCTTTCCTGGCCTATGCCTGATCTTGAAGTCATACTCCTGTAGCTTCATCGCCCATCTTGCATTCCTGCCCGTCAGTCCTGGGGTTGACATCAGCCACGTCAGGGGCTGGTGGTCAGTTACTAAGGTGAATTCCCTCCCCTGCAGGTACACCCTGAAATGCTCTACTGCCCATACGGCTGCCAACCCTTCTCCGATGTAGGAGCTGTACTGTGCCTCTGCCGAGTTGCAGCTCCTGCTCGCATATGCCACTACCTTCTCCTCTCTTTCTACCTCCTGGCAGAGGATCCCTCCCATCCCTTGGCTGCTCCAATCGGTGTAGAGCGTGAACGGCTGATCAGCGGCGGGCAGCTTGAGCACCGTCGCGGTCTTCACTGCTGCCATCAGGTCCTGCAGCGCCCCTTTCTGTGCTTCCCCCCACTCCCACGCCTGGTCCTCCCGCAATAGCACATTCAACACTGCTGCTCGCTTGCTGAAGTTGGGCACAAACCGCCTGTAGTAGCTCAAGAAGCCCAGCACTGCTCTCAGCCCTGACTTGTCCCTCGACTCCCTCAGTCTGTCCAGGACTTCCACCTTGGCCTGTTGGATCCCTATCTGTCCCCCTTTCACCTCATACCCTAGGTACTGCACCGTCTGTTCCCCCCATCTGCACTTCTTCGGATGGCAGGTGAGTCCCGCCTCTTCAACCGCCGCTAGGGTCCGCTCAACATCCTGCAGGTGCTGCTGCTCTGTGGTGCTGAAGATCACCACGTCATCAATGTAGCAGGCTGCGCACTCCACTCCCCGCAGCACGCTGTCCATGACCCTCTGGAATACTGCTGATGCGTTCCTCAGTCCAAACGGCATGTACAACCACTCGTACAGCCCGTCTGGCCCATGAAAGGCCGTCTTCCTAACGTCCTCCTCTCTGATTTTGATCTGGTTGAACCCCTGCCGCAGGTCCAGCGTAGTGAAGAACACCCCCTCTGCCAGTTTGTCAAAGATTTCCTCTGCCATCGGCATCGGGTACCTGTCTGCCACGGTGATTTTGTTGAGTGCCCTGTAGTCTCCACACATCCTCCTGCTCAGCACCTCCCCTGTCAGGTCTCTCCTGGCTGCCACCACTGTGGGTGTGGCATACTCAGACTCCGATCTCCTAATCAGTCCTGCTTCCAGCAGCTCCTTGATCTTCTCCTTGCAGATCTCCTCATCCCCAGGCGGCATCTTCCTCTGGCGCTGGAACACTGGTTCTGTGCTGCTCAGCTTCAGCTCCATCTCCTTCACCTTGCACCTTCCCAGTTCCTGCATGGTGAAGGCAAAGCACTTCCTGTGCCTGGCGAGCAGCTCCTGCATGGCCTCCTTTCCCGCCTTGCTCGTCGCTTCCCCCACCACCCAGCTCCCCTCCTCCTTCTCCTGGCAGCTCCATGCACCTCGTGGCTCCGCCTCCATCCTTCCTCTCTCTTCCGCCTGCCCCCAGCTCACGACCGTCTCCTGCCACATTCGCTGAATCAGCCACCTCATCACATGGCCATCCATTGTATTCCCCAGAGCCCTCCTCCTGTCCGCTTCACTTGCCCCAGGCGCTGCTGTTGCATCTTCCTTGTATCCCATAGCCAGCTCCCGCTCCAGTGCCGTGGGCTCCTCCCATCTCCCTGTTTTGTGGTCATACACCATTCCTGGCCCTGGCTTCCCTGCTTCCCACCTGTACCCTGCTGCCCCGACATACGCCACCAGCGTGGGCAGGGCCCTCCTCTCCTGCCCCACTTGGTTGCACTGCTCGTGCCTGCTGTAGCTCTTGTGACCCACTGGTGCTGGGGTCCGCCCTGGTTCCAGGATGTCCTTCACCTTCCTTTCTGCTGCTCGCCTTACCCCCTCCATCTCTGCCTGCAGTTGCTCGGCAGGGACCACATTCTGCCAGTACATTCTGAGCCTGTGCGCGTAGGACCCCATTCTGGCCGCATCACAGCTCACCCCTTCTCCCAGTTGTCCCCTGATCCTGTCCCTCACCAGTCGGATTGGCTCTCTGCTATCCCCCTCCAGGTCCAGGTTCTCCAGCAAGTATGCCACCCTGCCCTGCCTCTCCTGCAGCCACTCCATGATTCGAAACAGATCCTCCAGCAGCCCCGTCCTATGATCTTCTCCTCCCTTGCCCCTGCCTGCCCACGACACCCCTTGGCATTCCCACCCTGCCACCAGCATATCCACTTGCCCCCAGCTCGCTACTTCGGCCTCGCCTATGTCTTTCACATCGTGAATCATCCCCCCCATCGCCTTGCTGATCACCTCCTCACTCAGCAGGTCCGGGAATTCCGCTTGCAGCTTCTTGGCATGGTGCTCCGCCATCCTCCTTACCCTGGGTTCCTCCTCCACATATGTCCATCTCTTCACTGCTATCCCATTCTTCACCACTGCTGACAGCCCTGCCCCTATCCCCCCAAATAACTCCACCAGGTGGATGGGCTGTTGCCAATCACTCTGCTGCTGCGGCTTGTCCATCCTCTTCATTCTAGGCGCTCCTCCCCTCCCCGGCAGCCCTCCCTGCTCCCCTAGCAGCCGCTCCCCCATGGCCTGGTATGCTCTCTTCGGCTCCACCTTCACGAATCGCACTGGCAGTTCTCCTAGCGGCCCCTCCCTTTTCCAGTATCTGGTCCTAAACTCCACCCTCTCCATCCAAGTGCAGATGGTCATTCCTACCGCATACACCAGCTCGGTGCCCACCAGCACATCGAAGTCCTCTGACTCGGAAATCCCACACTTCATGCGGATTTTGGTTTCATGTGTCCCCCCCGGTAGCAGCGTCACTTCTATGGGCGTCCGTGTGCATGGCATCCATTTCGGCTCCCCCCCTTCCGCTGTCATCACCAACATCCCCTTGGCCACGTGCCTCTCTGGAGCCAGCAGTCCCAGCCTCTCAGCCATCCCTCTGCCCAACATCACGCTCTGTGCCCCCGTATCTATGATGGCTGTCGTTACTTTCACTCCCTCCACTTCCATGGCTCCCTTTTCAAGCAGTAGCACCGAGGTCTGGCATGCCAGCCTCTCTTGGGGGTGGCGTGCGGGGGCTGGCTCTTGGGCCGGCTCAGATGGCGCTTCTCCCTTCACCTGCTCCTTCCTTCCTTGCTCTCGCCTGCCATCTCTTCCCCCGCTTCTCAGCCCCACCTCCTCTCTCCCCCTCCATGCCATGAGAGCACACAGCACGTCCTGCTCCACCTCCTCTCCCCCCCCTTCTCCCGCGTACATTCCTGCCTCCGCCTCCCCCTTCAGCCCTGTTGCCCTCAGCTGTGCCTGCAACCTGTTAATCTGCCGCTGCAGCTCCTCTGAATGCCTCCCACTCCCCCCTTCCCTCTGGTAGCAGTCCTTCGCCTCATATCCCTGCCTTTTGCAGATTTCACACCGGGCTGCATCCGGGCATTCCCGCTTCCTATGCCCCGGCTTCCCGCACCCATCACAGTTTTTGCAGTCCCTGCGCAGATGGCCCGGCTGTCCACACCTGTAGCATGTCCTGGTATCCGCCCCAGTCTCCCCTCGTCCCTCTGTTCTCCCTCCTCCTCCCGGTATTATGGTCGCCGCCCACGTTGGCCGCCTGCTCCTCTCTGCTGGCCTGGGGAGATATGCCTCGAATTTCCTTTGCGCGAGCTCCACCCTCTCCGCCAAGGCGAACACCTCCTCCAGGCTTGCATCCGCTCCGAGCTCATACACCCTCATCCTCAGCCCCCCTCCTAAGGCCTCGTCCAAGCCCCCCAGGAACTTGCTGACGAGAAGGCTGCTGTCCGTGCATCTCACGTCGTCCGCCACATTTATCAGCCGGTTGTAGTAGGTCAGCAATGATTCAGTCCTGCCCCTGCTGAATTCCTGGAACTCCCTTATGCGCTCGGCCGTGTGCCCTGGGAATTGCCGCTGCAGCCTCTCCAGGAATGCCTCGGTGGGGTCCTCGCCGTACCTCCCCGCCCTCCACAGCAGTTCCTCCATCCTCATACGGTAGAGCGTCTCGGCCTCTCCCTTGAGCATGTTCGGCAGGCTCAGAAAGAAGTCTACTGGATCCATGTGGTGCCGGTTGCAGCGGTACCGCACATTCCCCACCTGCATGAGGTAGTTCTTGAGGGTCGGTCCTGCACGCTGGTCACCTGAGAATCTGGCGGGCACCTCCACCCGTGGGGCGCCGTTGCTGCCCCCACGCCCCTCTCCCCATGCCTCGCTGGCCCCTTCCTGCCGACTCCTCTCTGTTCCCCTCACCCGTGCTCTCTGCATGCCCTCTCTAGCTTCCCGCGCCCGCTCTGCCCCTTGCGCCAGAGTTCCGCCTTCCGTTCTTCTCTTTTGGCGGCTCCCGCCTGCCTCGTACCGCCTCTCCCTCGATTCTCCTCACCCCTCTGTCCGTCCCCACTGCACCGTCGGCGGTCCGTACACCTCCCGCTCCTCCCATCTGCTCATCTCACGCCGCGGCCGCCTCTCTGGCGATGGTGACCAGGCGTCCAGGTGCTCACTCCAAGTGCGCGGCTGACGCCACGGTGACCGCTCCCCCGCGTACTTCTCCCTGCGCGTGTGTTGTCCGTCCGGCGAGCGGGACCAGCTGCTGTCTCTCCGCTCCCTCTGCCTAGTCCGGCCTGGCGAGCGTATGGTGCTGCTGCGTCCCCCTTGCTGCTGACCGTGCCACTTCGGCGGCGCTGTTTCCGTCTCTCGCCCCCTCTCCCCGCGCGGCTGCTGCCGTCCTGCCGAATGCGGAACTCGCCCACGCGCCCTCCCCCGAGGCGCCGCTCCCTCTCCGCCGAGCGGGACCGCTCCTCCTTTCCCTTGCCGCGTGAATTTGGCGCCTGCCACGCTCGATGGCTCATCTCTGGCCCGCCCAGCTCCTGCCGTCCGGAGCTCTCCGTGCGCCGCCCTTCCTCGTAGGGATCGTCTCGACCGCGCGATCCCGGTGGCGGAGCCTCTAATTCCGCGACCGCCACCGGGCTCGTCTCCGCTTGCGCCTCCGCCAGCTCGGTTTCCGCATCGCCCGTTCCTCCTGTTCGCGCCTCATTCGCCCCTTCTATCCCTGCCTCCTCGTCTGACCGTTCCGATCCTTCTTCCTTGTCCTCCACGCCCTGCTCCGGCGTCTCTTCTCGAACCGCATTGTGCGGCGAGTTCTCTCCGCGAGCGACGCTGCCGACGCTCCCTCCTTGTCCGCGAGACTGCTCGCCGAACGCCAACCACCGCCCTCTCTCGTCGCGACATCGTCCGTGCTCCTTTGTGGAGCGGAACACCCTTCCGCCGCGGTGGTTTCCGCCCTCCGCGCCAGGTCCGCGTCCACTCTCCTGGAGCCACGCATCTCGATCCGCGCGTTCGGCGTGTCCTTCGTCATTCGTTCGCGCATCAGCTACTCGACCGTCCCTCACGACAGGGACCCGATCGGCGCGGAAGGCGGGATGGCGCGGCGATCGCTCCATGGATCGCCCACGCTCTCGTGACGGCTCTCGGCGCTCCCGTTCCTCCTCCCGTCGGCTATACGCCCTACCCCAGCGCAGCTCGTATCGATCCATCTCGTTCGCGCTAGGAAGTTACAGTCCTAGCCCCCGTGTCCGCTTGCTCGCTAATATGAAAGAGCCTGATCCCTCACCCCGTAGGTTCCCTATTAGTGTCGTGCTGTCGTATGCTAGAGCATGAGACAATCAGTTTCACTAGTGCAAGGGAATATTAGCGAGAAAGCATCGATGGGTTGGAGGTGAGTGACCTTACCCCACCCCTGGCTGCACATTTCCAAAATGTGCGGCTCGGGGTTGGGGTTCGTTGGTTTCACATTTCGCCTTTCGGATTCTTTCCCCCTTTTTATCTCAACCGCTCTTATCCTGTTTCCCCCCTTCTACACCCTCGCTCCTAACAGTAACTTTACTACATCCTACAGCTATTACCTATATTCTTATTCCTATCTCATCTTCCTATGGACTTAGGATGAAACCCACACTCCACCATCATTCTACTGTTATTGCATATGCATTAAGTGCATATGCGGTGACAATGTCCATGTCCAAGACCACGTCCACGTCCACGTCCAGGTCCACGTCCACGTCCACGTCCACGTCCACGACCACGTCCACGTCCACGTCCACGCCCAGGTCCACGTCCACGTCCATGTCCACGTCCTCCACGTCCAAGTCCACGTCCTCCACGTCCACGTCCACCTCCACGTCCACGTCCACGTCCAGGTCCACGTCCACGTCCACGTCCAGGTCCACGTCCACGTCCAGGTCCACGTCCAGGTCCACGTCCACGTCCACGTCCACGTCCACAACCACGTCCAGGTCCAGGTCCACGTCCACGTCCACGTCCACGTCCTCATCCACGTCCACGTCCACGTCCGTCCATGACCACGTCCACGTCCAGGTCTACATCCACGACCACGTCCACTTCCACGTCCACCTCAACGTCCACGTCCACGTCCAAGTCCACGTCCTTGTCCACGTCGTCCACGACCACGTCCACGTCCTCCACGTCCACGTCCACGTCCACGTCCACGACCACGTCTACGTCCACGTCCACGTCCTCCACGTCCACGTCCACGTCCACGTCCACGTCCACGTCGACGTCCACGTCCACGTCCACGTCCACGTCCACGACCACGTCCACGTCCACGTCCACGTCCACGTCCAAGTCCACGTCCACATCCACGTCCACGTCCACGTCCACGTCCACGACCACGTCCATGTCCTCCACGTCCACGTCCACGTCCACATCCACGTCCACGACCACGTCCACGTCCATGTCCACGTCCACGTCCACGTCCACGTCCATGACCACGTCCACGTCCACGTCCACGTCCATGGAACTCCACGACGGAAATTTGCCTGCTTCATGACCTGTACCGGAGCAGCTGTTTTCGGGTCTCAGGGCTACAAACACCCGAAACGAGCGTTTTTTATCAACGTGAAAACGTCATTTGAGAGTTCACGGACCTACGAGTATGCTAGAAAGTTCCTGGTGAGAAGAAACGAGAATGATTGACCTATGAATGAATTGGGTACAAGTACTAACCCTAATTGGGTTGTACCCCTTATGGGCTACCCCACTATAGCCTACACAATATGCATGAGCTATAATGTTCTGACACACCCCCATAGGCAAAGTGGGGGAGAACAAGGGGTCACAAGACCAGTCAAGCAAAGCAAAGCAAAGCAAGCTCAGGGTGGATCACAAAGTCACCACACATTACGAGCACAAGTTCAAGGCCACAAGGCCAGTTCACATGCAGGAGTACATATATATAAAGAAGACTAGACAAGCAAGAGCAGGTATATATATATGTAACAGTACAAGCAAGGTCAAGAGGTGAGCAAGTGAGGCAAGGTAGGCACAAGGCCCAGCTGAGTACAGAAGCACTGATGGTCACAAGGCGCAAGCGCCTTGGTGAAGATATCAGCAGTGTTGGCCTCGGAGGCCACGTACGCAAGACGCAGCTGACCACGCTGCTGCAGCTCACGAGCAAGAAAGTAGCGGAGAGCAATGTGCTTCATTCTGTGCTCCAGTCGCTGCTCCCGACACAAGGCCAGCATGGCCTTGTTGTCTACGTACAGCACTGGAGGAGAACGAGGCGGCTCTCCGAGGTCAGTCAGCAGGTAGGTGAGCCAGCGAAGCTCTTGTGCAACCATGGCTCCTGCGTAGATCTCAGCCTCACAACTGGAGCCGAGAACAGAAGACGAGCGAGTAGCCCGCCAAGAAACAGAGCCGGAACCAAGGCTGAAGGTGTAACCCTGTGACGACCGCTGCGTAGCCTGGTCGTCAGCCCAAGAAGCGTCTGCGTGCCCACTAAGGACCACTGGACTCTGCCCTCCAAGCACAAGCCCCATGCCCGACGTACTGCACAACTAGCACAACACCCTCTTCGCTGCAGCCATGTGCTCCGGTCTGTGTCTCCCAGGAGCAACATAGCGTGCGAGAATGCTAAGAGGGTATGCAAGTTCAGGTCGTGTGCAGGTCATCAGGTACATGAGGCAGCCAACAAGCTCTGGGTACGGGCCACTCGACTCTACGGACTCATCCGAAGGCAGAGCTGAGAGCGAGTGGCGAGTAGACAGAGGAGTGGCCTGAGGCGAGGAGTACGTGAAGCCAAAGCGCTGAAGGACCTTCTGCACCATGTGTGACTGAGTCAGGGTAATGGTGCGGTGTGCTCTGTCCCGAGTGATCTGCAAGCCAAGGTAGCTGCGCAGTTCACCCAGGTCAGTGCACGTGTGTCTCTTCTGCAGCTCGGACTTCACGTGGGCGAGTCCAGCAGTGTCAGCTGTGGCAAAGACCAAGTCGTCGACGTACAGGAGGATGTAGAATGGCGGCAAAGAAGTGTCGGTGCGCAAAAACAGCGACGGGTCGGCAGTAGAGGGAGCAAACCCAAGAGCCGCAAGTGTAGTCCTCAGTGTGTCGTGCCACTCACGCGGTGCCTGGCGGAGACCGTAGACTGGCCGCCGGAGGCTCCACTGGGTGCCAGGAGGAAAAGACCCAGTGAAACTAGGTGGGCGATGCAGCCAGATCTCCTCGTGCAGGCTGCCCTGCAGGAAAGCAGTGCTGAAGTCAAGAGAGTGTAGCTCGTAGTCACGGTGAGCAGCTATGTGCAGCAGTACCCGAAGAGTGGTCATCTTCAGGGTGGGAGAGAAGGTCTGAAAGTAGTCAACTCCCTGCCGCTGACTGAAGCCACGAGCCACGTAACGCGCCTTGAAGACAGGCGGAGAACCCGCCGGTCGCTTCACCCTGAAAATCCACATGCCACTGACGATGTTCGCCCCAGGAGGGGGAACAGCGTCAACGTAGGTGCCTGTGGACTTCCAGGAAGCTATCTCTGCGTCCATAGCTGCCTGCCACTGAGAGGAGTAGGGACCCTCTATCGCCTCCGCGTAAGAGCGCGGAGTCGGGACGTCAAGTGCATCCGGGTCTCCCTCAGGGGTAAGCAGTACGGACACGAGATGAGGTGAAGCAGCGGCCAAGCACTGGAACTCCTCCTGCCTGTCCTCAAGGACGTCCGTGCCAAGGGCACACTCACCCCCGACGGACGGAGGACAGACAGACTCAGACTCAGCAACAAGACTGGCGGCGTAGTCTAGGCGACAGCGAGCAGCAAAGTCGACGAGCTCAGCAACTAGGGTAGACGCAGCAGTGGACTCAAAGGAAGGGTCAGTGACAACAGTAGCAAGGAGACGCGTGACAGTAGGACTGGCAGCACGAAGAGAGTCTGACTCCAGGTCGGCCAGAGCAGGAAGAGAAGACTCAGGAGGAGAAGGCAAAGGGGCACGCAGAGAAGCAGTGGACGGACGCAGAGACATCCGGTGCGTGCCAGGGACAGGAGGAGGACGCTGACGCGAACTGCGACCACTAGTGCGAGCAGCACGGACAGGCAACGCAGGGCGAGACGCAAGCTCACGACGCTCAGCAAGACCTCCAGTAGGACCAGTGTAGGGAGACGGAGCAGGCAGTGGGGAGGCCGGCTGTAACTGTAACGGCGACGGGACAGGCTGTGGACACTCTAAGGGAGGAGGAGGACCAGTAGAAGACGGGAGACCAAGAACCTGCTGAAGGAGCGGAACGAAGTATGGCCGAGGCCGCGCGGCGACTCCAGACACAGCAGGGACAGCAGTAGTACCCCTAGTGGCAGCACCAGCACCAGTAGCAGCTCCAACTCCAGTACCCCCAGCAGCACCAGTAGTACCCCCAGCAGGACCGCCTCCAGGACCGATAGCAGTAGCCTCCACGTCAACACCCGCAGCAGCTCAAGCTCCAGAAGTACCCGCAGGTCCAGCAGCTCCAGTACTCCCAGTAGGAGCACCTCCGGGACCCGTGGCACCAGCTCCCTCAGCAGCAACAGAACCTTTAGTACCCGCAGCACCTCTAGCTCCAGCAGCACGCCTCCAGCGCCGGGCAAACCACTCACGCAGCTCCTTTGGAGAGAGTGGCTCCCGGCGAGAAGAAGCACCCGGAGAACCGCCAGGCACAGCACCAGCAGGCCCAGCTCCCTCAGGCTCCGTACCCCTAGGCTCAGCACCTCCAGGCGTAGCACCCCCAGGCTCAGCACCCCCAGGCTCAGCACCCCCAGGCGTAGCACCCCCAGGCTCAGCACCCCTAGACTCAGCACCCCCAGGCTCAGCACTCCCAGTCGTAGTACCCTCAGGCTCAGCACCCCAAGGCGTAGCACCCACACGCTCAGCACCCCCAGAGTCAGCACCCCTAGGCTCAGCACCCTCAGCAGCACCAGAGTCACCAGCGACCTCGACAGGCTCAACAGCGTCTACCTGGGACACACCTGAAGGGGCAGGACCCAGAGGGGGGAGGGGGTCTACCGGGGGGGGACCTGGCACAAGGAAGAGCGGTGGCGGGGGAAGGGACGGAGTGCGGTAGGGGAAGAGACGGTAGTAGGGGACCGACTCGTCGAACGTGACGTCCTGGGAGGACAGAACACGGCGAGAGGTGGGGTGGTAGAACTGCCACCCTGGCGCGTCAGGGGGGAAACCCAAGAAGACGCAAGGAGCAGCACGAGGGGACAGCTTGTCCGCAGACAAGTCGCGGACAAACGCCCGAGATCCCCAGACACGGAACGCAGACGCATTGCCAACCTTCCTCGTCCACAGCAAAGCTGGGGAGGTCTCCGGCATGGAGACCCAGGGCTGAAGGTTGATCTGATGCGCCGCGTACCGAACCGCAAACGGCCACAGAAAATGGGGGGCAGCCGCATGCATCATGGACGTACGGGCGACGTCCATGACCATGCCAATGCGACGCTCAGCAATCCCATTTTTCTGTGGAGAGTCCGGAAGCGTGAAGGTCTGGCGGATGCCTCGTGCACGACAGTAGGCTCGCACAAGGCCAGAGGAGAACTCTCCGCCTCTGTCAGAGTGCAGACGCAGAACAGGAAAGTCCGAGCCGAAGCTCTGCCTGAGCTGGAGACGAGCTGCGCGGATCCAGTCGATCAACACCTCAGTGACATCACCCTTGCTGCGCAAGGGGAAGACTGTGGTGTAACGCGAGTAGTCATCAACCACCAGCAAGAAGTAGCGCTCGTGACCCTGTCCACGGACGCGGGCTGGGCCCCACACGTCCATGTGAAGCGTCTGCAGCGGGGCCTCTGTCGGAGGAAACTGGGAGGAGTGAGGGGCAGCACGCTGCCGCCCCTCGACACAGGGGACGCAGGTAGGGCCAGGCCCCGGAGGAAGGGGAGGGAGGGACCGAGGAAGACCAGAGACAAGGACACGGGAGGCCATGCTTCGGAGACGAAGCAGGGAGGGGTGACCAAGGCGGTGGTGCCAGAGGAGAGTCTCGTGAGACAGGAGGCGACACGAGCAGGGGGCAGACTCAGGACCAGACCTGGACGCTGCAGCTAACACCTGACCCGACGCAGCTACCTGACCAAACGCAGGGACTGGAGGAGACGCAGTGGTCAGTGTGTACAGGCTCGACCCCGGCCGACGTGTAAACGTGGCCAGGTGTCGGCCTGTCCGAGCGTCCGTGCAGTGGGTCACCCGCTGACTCGCAGGAGTGAACTGGTGAACCCCCGCATCCTGTAGGTCAGCACCACTCACCAAGTTCGTAGAGAACGAGGGGAGGTAAAGACCAGACAGGGTGCCAGAGGGGGCCGCCGGACACGGGAGGACAGTGGAGAAGTGAGCAAGGACAGGACCCCCAGAGGGGTCTGCCAGGGAGACTGCAACTGGCCGACCAAGCGGCGTGAGTGTGGTGCGGTCTCGAAAGAAGAAGCGAGAAGCCCCCGAGTCAAGTGTGAAGGTGTGGGAGGCCGAAGCCGACGCAGTACCTGAGAGCGCAGACTCACCAGTACCGGAGGAAGCAGACGC